ATTCCCCAGCATTACTAAAAAAAATAAAAAATGGTAATGAAGATAAGTGGCATTAATGTCACTTCAGCCATCTCATAGTGGAAAAACAGTTTAACCTAGACCAGATCGCTCATTTTTAAGCGAGGAAACTGAGGCCCAGAACAGTTCAGAGACTTGCTCTCCAGTGTGTCAGGTGTCAATGTAAAATAACAACTTTACTTTACAGCAACAACTTAAAAAAAAAAAAACCCTCTCTTACCTTTCTACAGCATCTTAAGGACGCTATCAGAAAGCATACCACGGTGGACTCAGAGTCATAGGTGAGAGAGGTTCTCCTCAAAGATAAATTTCTAACAGTCAGCCCCAGATATTTGTAAAAACTCAGACTGTGGCTGAAGGGAAAAGTCATGGAACCAAGTAACACAGCTAGCCACGTCTGTATTTATGGCTATGTCTGTATGTCCGGGACCTTACTAACAGGACAGAAAAAGATAAGAGACACCATGGCCTCATTGCTGCCCTCAGAGAGGGCCCCACCTGACTGGGGCCTGTATCCTGAACTTGCTACCGTGGTGGACAGGAGGGGCACTTCTGCAGAGAATGCTTAAAGGGGGGACAGCCGGGAGACAGCCCCGCCCCCAACCGGGACCCTGCCCTCTGCAAGGGTAACCACTGGAGGTCTAAGTGCCCCCCACCCTGCACCCTCCCCGCCCTCTGTCACCAGATGGAAGACGAGGTGCCACCTTCTATGGATTGACAGGTCCAAGCCTCCTGTCTACACTCCACTTCTTGGCATCAATGTTGAAGAGCCATAATGGCAGAAAAACAAAAGGTCATTTTCCTCCGAGACAGTGGAGCCCATTTCTCTGTTTTACCCTTTTCTCCTGGTCCCCAGTCCATGACAAAAGTTATCATTCGGGGCAAATATGGCTAGCCCCTAGAGTGCTAGTTTACCTGGCCTCTGGCCTGCTCTTGGGGAGATCTCCTCTTCTGTCACTCTTTCCTCATATTACCTAAAAACTCCAGTGTCCCTGCTGGGACAGGATTTACTATCTCAATTAAAGGCTCAAATTCTCCTCCCCCCAGGCAGCTAAATCTGCTGCCCCCTCCTTCAGGAACAAAGAGATCCCACAGTGTGGACTGATGAGATGAGTGTAGGGTGAGCCAGGACAGCCCTTCCTATTCAAATAAAACTCAAAAATCCCTCACAGTTTCCACACCCAAAACAATATGACGATGAGGCCTTATGCTTATCATAAATTCCTTAAAACAACAAGGGCTACTAATTAGTTGCTCCAGCCCCTATAATAAATCTAAAATTCTTATAAAAGTTAATTTTAAAATACAGGTTACAAAGTAAACAACTGGAAAGGATATAGATAGGTAATAAATGTATTTTTGAGAAGTTAAAGGAAAAAGGAATGGTTTTTTGGATGAGAAGGGATTTTGGAAAGAAGGGTTTGTCCTAAAGATTGTTTCAAATAGGAAGGATAAGGACAAATCATAAAGCATTTAGTATGTTGTATGAAGGTCTGAGTAAGTTTGAAAAGTGTATAATAAAAGCTTCAGTGTGTGATAAAGTTAAAGTTGAATATAATCTAAGAGTTGCCTAAAAGATTTTTAGGGTCATGTCAAACTAAAATAAAATTCTCTATGTCTATGAAATAACAAGGTTATCTTAATATTGTTGTGCTCTGAGTAACATCTACAAAAAACCATTACAGAGAAAGATTTTATCAAAGAAATTATTTGTGTTTTCTGCTGATCTTGTCAAGCTTTTAAGTACTACTAAATCAGAGTTCATTTATATATTTGCTATGTGTCTTAAATGACCACCTTGTAACAGTGTTATGGTATACTTTATCTAAATATGGTACAAACATTTAAAAGGTTAAAAGTGTCAATTTATATAAAATAATGAGCTAAAGCTCTCTTTTATCCAAGTGTTACATTTAAATCCTGACAGCCCCTGCCTCCCACAGGTCACCTACCTAGGTGTGGCCTTAAAGGGACAGACTCACTCCCTGAGTCATAAATGCATAAACCCAATCTTCCGTTTCCCAACCCCCATACCATAAAACAGCTTACAGCTTTCCTGGCAGTTATAGGATTTTGCAGAATTTAGATCCCTAGGTAGGCAATCCCTGAACAGACACCTTTTTATGCTCCTCCTAATATTCCTATTTGGGTCTTAGATAATGTATGGCCACCCATTTCTCTCTCTGTAGTTGGAGGACTCTTGAAATTGTCTAGGGAACAACATTTCACAGTGGTTCTCCTGGCCAATGCCCATCCCAATGCCTATGTTCTTGCTCTCCTATTCTTAAGCTTCCTCCCTTGTATCATATTACATGTCTGCTATTGCTAATCAAAAATTTAACCAGTTGTGCCTCCAGGGATACCAACCTCTCCAAATCGAGAGGATAGTTGGCTGATACCCACCATGCAGAGGTCGGAGGATTGGCTCGAGACTCTTTACGACCTATGGCTACAAGGGACTTCATCAATTTCAGGGAAGAGGAAATCTTCCTTTTTGGAGCCTGGGTGTACACCATCATGAAGCTCAGCACCCCAACATTGTTTGCCAACTAACCCTCCCTTCCCCTACACCACCCCTTGCCAGCTCGAAGAAGCCGGAGCAAACACAACGCCCCCCTTCCTTAACAAACAAAAAAAGGGAGGAATGTTGGCAATAATGGCGCCGACAGGTTTTGGTTCTCTCTCTCTCTCTCTCTCTCTCTCTCTCTCTCTCTCTCCCCATAAAAGCCCCAGACTTCTGAACAGTGAGCTACCAGTTTCTGGGTTCTGTTGCACTGTTCTAGCTGTACCTTTCCTTTCTTGCTTAATAAATCCTACTTCGTATACTGGTTTTTGCTCACACATCGATCAGCTGCCTTACAAGTCAGTTCTCTGGCCTGTGAAGGCAAGGACCCTCAACACTGGCCCGCAACACTTCAATCCAGCACGTAACAATAAGAAGCCCTTTCTTTACAACCTCATGGCTTTAGTTACTTTTGGAAGAATTGGCACAAGTGACTCTTTTTGGATTTAGACTTCTCTTGTCTGAACAGTTTTCTCTGAAGATACACACCAATTAACCATTCTGTGGTTTTGCTTAATGGAAGTCCGTTGTTGCCAGGATTAGCTTTTTCCTCAGATGAAAACTCAGTGTTTTGGGTGGGCACTTATGGCTCATGCCTGTAATCCTAGCTACTCAGGAGGCAGAGCTCAGGAGGATAGAGATTCAGTCAGTGGGAGCAAGTAGTTCATGAAACCCTATCTTGAAAAAAATCCATCACAAAAAAGGGTTGGTTGAGTGGCTCAAGTGGCAAAAGCACCAGCCTAGCAAGCATGAGACCTTGAGTTCAAACTCCAGTGTTGCTGAAAAAAACAAACAAACAAAAAAACACTCCACTTTTTAAAAGCTTCTTCTTTGTTCCTTTTGAGGATCCAACCCAGCAAATTTCACTTAAACTGGTAACCTTGAATGTCAATCTCTCTCCTCAGCTTAGTTACACCACTGTATCTTCTTTTGGCACCTTGGATTCCAGGAAAGACAGACGATAACATCTTTATGACAAGGGACTGAAACAACCCCCAACAGTAAACCTTTCTCAGCATGGCCTGCCTCCAGTTAACAACTCCAGAACCTCTCCCAAAACAAAGACTGAGATAATGACCAACCAGGCCACACTTGTGACTGAACTGTTTAACTATGCATAACTTTGTCCCCTGCCCCCAGTTCTTTTATCTACTTAAATCTATAGCCAATGTCTGTACCCTGAAGATGGCTGAAGATGAGTTGAGTGCTTACTCTGTCTCTTCCCACAGCATGTCCTCAGCTCTGTAATAAATCTCCTTTCTCTACCTTCACCATGCCTCTTTAGGGGAAGGTGGCCGGACCTGGCATATGGACTCTCAGGAGTTTGGGCCTTGGGTCCAAAATTCCCGTTTCAGCTTAATCTTATTATTTTTAAATACACTGCCTAGCTGTGTACAGAGGGAAGTCCCCACTATGAGGTACAATTTGTTTTATTTGCTTTTTGGTGGTACTGGTGTTTGAACTCGGGTCTTTGTGCTTGCTAGGCAGATGCTCTACCACTTGAGCTACAACTGCCAGCCCTGTTTTTCTTCAGCTATTTTTGATAGGGTGCCATGTTTTTGTCCTGGGAAATCTGGTGGTGATCCTCCTACTCCTATCCATGCTTCCTCCTAGCAGGGATTACAATTGTGTGCCTCCACATCCAGCCCAATTGTTGTTTTTAGATACGTTTTAAATTTTTTTAAAGGCTTGGCAGGATAGCTAAATGGTAAATCATGTGTTTTGGGCTATAACTCTTACACACAAAAAAAAATAAATAAATTTTAAAGCGGGAATTCCAATACACTTACCATAACACCAAGCTGAATAGTTGCTCCTAGAGGTAGCAGTATATAAAGTATAATAAGGCATGTTTGGGTTCAGCAAAAGGAAAGGCTAAGTGTAATAAGTTGAGCAGAGTTTATTCGTGAGGGGTGGATTCTAAAACCATTTCTACCACCCTGTGACCTTCCCAAATTTAGCTTCTCCCTGAGCCTTAGCTTTCTGACTTTTATGTGGGTTTGGCTCAGGCTTTATGTTTCAGACCAAGCATGCTACAGCCCCACCTGACTCAACAGCCGCTTGTGAACTGGTTTACAAGGGAAAAGACCGACTCTTCAGCGGCAAATCGACTACTAATCACTCACCCGCACTTCCGGGTGTCGGGGACAAAGAGTTTTTGGTCCTTGGAATCGCACTTCCGCTTACGAAAGCTGCGCAGAAGGTTCCGGTCCACCAGACGCAGCCGCAATACTTGGTAGTTAGACTGCGCATGCTCTATGCGGGTGCAAGGCAGCGAGGTATTGTGGGAGGGGCTGAGGCCCCTGACCGATCATTGGGCCGGCGCGAGGGCGTGAGGCTTGGGGGAGGGGAGAGGAGGGGCGGGATCTAGTTCTGGTTGGCTCTTGCTGATGTCGGCAGAACGTCGCTGCGTCGAGGTCGCTTCAGGTGAGGAGGTCGCGCCGGAAGTGGGTCTGGCTGTGGCGACTGGGTTTAGAGAGGCACCTGGTACGGAGTTTTGTTTTTAAGGGGGCGCGGCACCACCCGGCTCTCTCCACCTTGCTTTGAAGCCGCCATGGCGAAAGGTAGAGTCGCCGAACGATCGCCGACGGGGGCACTCCACCCAACCCCAGTGGGGGACCAGGCCACTGGGGCGCGGGGTTCTGCGGCCCCGGGCGGCGGAGACCAGTTGAAGGGTGAGTAGACCTGGTGTCCTGAAGTGAAGCTTGCTCGGTGGCGTCATGTGCCGGGAGGGGCCCGGAGGGGAAAAGGGGACCTGCGGGCCTTCGGGGGCGGGAGCTAGAGAGTGGGGTACTTAGCTTGGGTCCTCGCGCACCGCACGGCCAGACGCCAGGTGGGTGCGTCGTAGGTTCTTTTTAAGTTGAATTCAGTTAAAAGAAGAAAGGACACCGGCTTGTTGACGTTCAGGGAGTTTGTAAGATTGATATCGAAGCGGGACTGGTCTGGAAGGGACTTTAGCATTTGTTGCGTTGTTTTTTACAGATGGAAAAACTGAGGGTGGACTGGAGGTGTGGCTCAAGTGGTAGAGTGCCTGCTTTGCAAGGACGAAGCCCTGAGTTCAAAGCCCACTTTCAGCAAAAAAAAAAAAGAGAGAAAGTAAGAAAAAAAGAAACGGAGGGTACACGACTTGTACAGTCACAAAGCCAGATAAAAAAGATAATAGTTAAGATCAAGGTCTTGTAAAACACATGGGTTTCCTTTATTGTTTACTTGAGACGTCGGATGTGCTTACTTTCAAAAGCTCAGTGTCTGTTCTGTAAAGTGGACGTCATAGTATCTGTTTAATTGGTTGATGCATGGATTAAACAGAATAGTTCATGAAATGCTTGGCTATGAGGTGGTAGCTAAAGAAATGTTAACAGTCACTGGTATAGGTAAGGGCACTCATTCTAAAACTTCTTTTTCCTATTAAACCACTCTCGAACTTTTCAGGACTTTAAAATTTATATTTTAAATTTTATTTATTAATTGCGGTGTTGGGAATTGAACCCAGTGCCTTGTGCATGCTAGGCAAGCGCTCTACCACTTCAGCTACACTCCCATGCCTTTAAATATTGTTTTAAGAAGAAAAGTGTACCTAGAAATTAAATGCTTCGATTCCATCATGGAGTGAAATGTTCATTACTTTTTAGCAGTTGAAGTAATCAAGCTTTTTAAAGTACTTTTAAAGCTCATAAACTTGAAGTGACCAGGACAAATGGCCATTAAGTTGTCTATAGCTCACTCATACACTGGTATCTTCCACTACTTATGATGGTTATGGAGAAGGTGAAGAAGGTTTCCCTGTGTAGTCCAGGATGGCCCCAAACTGGTGATCCCTCGTCTCCCTATGCTGAGATTACAGCTGTGGATCACAGTGCCCATTTTAGGAGAAGGTCTTTTAAAAATGTTAAGCATTCTCAAATAATTTTAAACTTCTGTAACAGTCTTAATTTGGCTCTTTAAGCTTTATTTTTTTCCATTACTGGGATTTGAACTCAGGGCCTACACCTTGAGCTACTCCACCAGCCCTTTTTTGTTGTGGGTTTTTTTCCTAGATAAGGGTTTGCAAACTGTTTGCCTGGGGTTGGCTTCAAACCTCGATCCTCCTGATCTCTGCCTCCTGAGAAGCTAGGATTACAGGCATGAGCCACCAGCACCCAGCTCTTTAAACTTTATGTATTTGGGTATTTTTCCAGTTTATAGACAGTGGAGCCAAATAACTTCCTATAAATTCAAAACCTTACACATGAATTGTTGATAAAGAATAATCTGCTCCAAATTAAAGGAACAGGTTTTTTTGTTTGTTTGTTTGTTTTTGTTTTTTTGTGGTACTGAGGTTTGAACTGAGTATCTAGGATTACCAGCGCCCAGCAATGGAACACTGTTTTAAAGTCTCTATACTGAAAGTAACAATAATCCTAGGTCTGGGTTTCCTGCAGAAGTATTTCCAGGTAGGGCAGTCCTAATGATTGTCATTTGGTTTGTGATAGTGGTAAGTTGCTTTATTTTTTTTTAATCTAAAGTTATGCAGGCCGGGCACCGGTAGCTCACACCTGTAATCCTAGCTACTCAAGAGGTAGAGATCAGGAGAATCTTGGTTCAGTGCCAGCCCAGGCAAATAGTTCCACAAGACTTGTGGCTCAAGTCTTGAGTGGCTTAAGGTGAAGGCCATGAGTTCAAGTCCCAGTATTGCAAAATAAATAAAATTGAGAAAATAAAATCTTAAAACTTCCAGAGTGCCTTTGTAATGGTTTATCTTATTTTGTCACTAAAATAACACATTCAACATCCTTATTTTATGATGCTTTCAAATGATTTTGCTGACTACAAATCTCTAAGAAGACACAGGAAAGAAATGTAAAGGCTTGCACTCATGCAGATGTAGAGTTTGCACAGGTGGAGAGAAGGGAAGGGGATGCTGGACTAGGGAGGAAACAGTAGGCTGAAAGGTTAGTGTGAACCTTTTATGTGTGTCAGCAAAGAGATCAATTTATTACCAATAGATCATTTCTTTTGGGTAGTAGTAGGAGTTAAGGTTGGCCTGTTCTGAGTGGTGTCAGCTTATGTTAGTCAAGGAAGGGTTTTTTTTTTTTTTGCAGGGGGAGAGATTTGAACTCAGGGCTTCATGCTTGCAAATCAGGTGCTCTACCACTTGAGCCACACCTCCAGTCCATTTTGCGATGGTTATTTTGGTGGTGGGATCTTGAGAACTATTTTGTCTGACTGACCTGGAACCATTATCCTCCCTATCTCAGCCTCTGAAGTAGCTAGGTTTATAGTTGGTGAGCCCCTGGCTCCCAGCTAAAGAAGTTTTTTTGATGCAGCCTGTTCATTGATTATGAAGTTTTTTTCTTCTCTTTTTCCCTATATTTCTCTAATTATGTTAAGAATTTTCTATGTAGGCAAAAGTTTGTTTGTTGGTGGTACTGGGGTTGAACCCAGGGCCTCCTTGTGCTAGGCAAGCCTCTAATCCTTTATTGAAAAATATATAGTAGTAAGTAGACTCTTTCTATAAACTCCATGATATTTTATTGTTTTGTATCTTGTTTTCCTATTTCTTTTTCTTTTTTAAGACAGGGTCTTGCCATGTAGCCCAGACTGGCTTTGAATTTGAGGTCCTCTTGCCTCTACCTCCCTTGTAGCTGGGATTACAGGCATGCATCACCATACCCAACTTGAAAGTCTAATTCTTATATGAGGAGGAAGACTGGAATCAGTTAAGAGGGTCTTAATCTAATGTGTGTTTGAGGACCAGAATATGTTATTCTCTTTTTCTGAGGTGGCACTGGGGTTTGAACTCAAGACCTCATGCTTGCTGAGCAGGTACTCTTATGATTTAAGCCATTCTACTACCCTTTTTTGTGATGGGTTTTTTTTTAAGATAAGGTCTCTCAGATGTATTTCCCTGGTCTTGGCCTCCTGATCTCTTCCTTCTAAGTAGCTAGGATTATAGGGGTGGAGCAACCAGGTCCTGGCTTGTTACTCTTTTGTGTTGTTTGCCTAATTTGTTTACAAGCACATTCTTTAAGAGAACTCCCAGGACCATGTTTCTCCATACAGGTCATTACTCTTACAGCATGTGCGAAGACTATTTTAGTAGATAATTAGCATTTTAAAATGGAATAGAAAATACTAGAGTGCTTTGCATATAGAAAGCAAGTACTATTTCTAGAAATCCGTTTTTTCAGTTACAGAGATTTTTTTATGTACCAGATCATAATGTAAAATAAATTGTGTGTGTGTAATGTGATTAAAAAAAAAAAAACTTTGAGAAGTACTGTCATGAAGTTGTTTTTATTGAGTTTATTGTTTGTTTGTTTGTTTATTGAGATAGTCTCCCTGTGTAACCTGGGCTGGACTCAAACTCACAATCCTCCTGCCTCTGCCTCCCCAGTGCTGGGATTACAGGTGTGTGCCACCACAGCCAACCCTGATTTTATTGCTTAGAAGCCAATAATGTTTAAATTTGGATAAGTCTCTCTTAGATCCCTGTTTTGGATGCTGCCTTGCTAATTTATAGTTCAACAAATTACTTCTTTTTTTTTGTTTTTGTTTTTGGTGGGACTGGAGTTTGAACTCAAGGCTTCATGCTTGCAAGGCAGGCACTTTACTGCTCAATCCACGACTCCAGGCCAGATTTTGCATTCTTAAAGGTTTTGTTGTGTGTTTTGGTGGTATTGGGATTTGAACTCAGGGCTTCATACATGCAGAGCAAGGACTTAAAAAGCAGGCACTCTACTGCTTGAGCCACACGTACAGACCATTTTGCTGTGCTTATTATTATTATTGTTGTGCTGGCAGTACATTGTGGCATTTACAAGAGTTCTTGCAATATATCAAATACATTATAGTTGAATTCACCCCTTCCATCATTCTGCTCTGGTTATTTTAGAAATGAGGTGTCTCAAGCTATTTGCTTGGACTGACCTTTAACTGTGATCCTCTTAATCTCAAGCCTCCAGAGTAGCTAGGATTACAGGTAGGAACCACCAGTGCCCAGCTTTAAAGGTTTCAAAATGAAAATAATAAGAGAATTAATGAGTTACTAGAGGTGTGCAGTATGGTTAATTTTTGGCTTTTCAGGAATGGGTTAGAAGGAAAAAATTGAAGCTTTTGGTTGAATAGAAAGGGATAGCAAGATCTAGAAGGAAGTGTTAGCATTTAAGGAAAAGATAAGGGGAAAGGGACAAGGGACGTTAATTTCATGAACAAGTCTTAAGGTAGAATTGAGAAGCTCACCTAAGTAGGAGGCATTGCCATTGATTGCAGGTTAAAGGCTTGAAGAGACGTGAAATATTCTTTGGGTAGAGTGCTATAGAAGGCTACTGTTTGCCAGTGGTTACCCTGATTAAAGCTAGAAGAGCATAAGAAGGAACATGATTCTGACTTTCTTTAGCAACACCTTGCAAAGGAGATAATGGGGTAACTCAGACTAGGAAGTAGAGTGATAGAAGATTCAGAAATTAGTGAATGTAAAGTGTCAGTATGAGTAGCTGTAAATGCTAAAGACACACTCTAAATGCATATACTATAAATTTAGATGTAAATTATAAAAACATGATTTATAACTTATGTTTAAATAAATTACTTGCTAATCTCTAGGTTGATTAGGATTATATGGGAGAATAGTTAATTCATAATCACCAGTGTTCCCTGTGCTCAGACTTTTTACATTCCTCCTTTGTTCATGTGTTACTGTTGAAAAACTGCCTAATTTTGGAGAGAGAAGAAAATAGGTATCAAGTTCAACCTGGAAGTTTTGTTTAAATGTCTATATATTTCATCATCCAACTGTAAAACAAGTAGCAATTAGAAAGATGTGTACTCAAAACTCAGGATGGTTAATGTTCTGTAGTTTGGTTAACCATTGTCTGAACCTTTCTCCCAGTGGACCCCTAATTTGAGATTAGTTGAGTTTATAATGTGAAGAAAAATATTTTAATTTTAGAGGTAATATATTAAATGCATTATTTAATTTTTTTAATTTAAGAGGACTGTTTAAATCTTTAAAAATATATTTAAGTGCATAAAGTACAGATTAGAGGATAGCTGTTTCCCATCTTTTAATCTTCAACTAAATTTCTAACTGCTTCATGACTTGCCTTCATCACTCCACCCTAGTAATCTTGCTTCCAACCCTCTTTTAATTCTTATTCTTTGGTGGTGGTGGTGTCGTCTACTAATGATGGCATCAGCCTCTTAAGAGCAGAGATTGAACATAATAGATGCTCAGCAGACAAAAGATAACTGTTTCAGTGGGTAGCTTGTACACAGTTTCTAAGAAAGGGAGAAAGAACAACCATTTGTTCATATAAATCGTTCTTTGTCTGCAACTCAGAGAGGAAGAGATTGGGAAATTGTGATTTGAAGCCAGTCCAGGCAAAAAGTTAGAGATATTTCATCTTAACAAACAAGCCAGTCAGTGGTGGCAAATGCCTGTCATTCCAGCTACTTGGGAGGCAAAGGTAGGAAGATTGCAGTTGGAGGTTATATGGGCAAAAAACCTAACACATGAAAAATAAAGCTAAAAAATAAGAAAGGTTGGAAGTGTGGCTCAAGTGGTAGTGGAACTGCCTAGCAAGCACAAGGCCCTGAGTTCAAACCCCAGTACTGCCCCTCCCCCCCAAAAATGCAGATTTTGACTCCATAGTCTGGATAGGAGCCTGCAAACCTGCATGTCTAACAAGCCCTCTGGTGATGCTAATGGCTGTCCACAGAACTCACCTTTTGTTGTTGTTGTGGTTCTGAGGTTTGAACTCAGGGCCTCACTTTTGCTAGACAGATGCTCTGCCACTTGAGCCATCCACCAACCCTTGAACTCACTTTTTGAGCATCAAGGAGCCACATGGTTCCTGTTGCTTTATGTTTAGCATAGAATGTAGCCACATTTTACTAATTCAGTTATAACACAGACGAAACTACCATAGTAAGGCAAGGAATACAATGCAGTTTATCTTTTATGTGGTCAAGACTTTTTGGTTGGTAGAAACAAAACAGTTTAAAAACCAACACACAAGAAAAGGAAGTTATTGCAAGAATATGCAAGATAATTGGTATTCATGGACAAGAAACGAAATGTAGTCAGGCTTCAAGAGAAGTAAAAAGTTAGAGATCAGCAAGTAGGTTAGCTGTAGCTCTCATTTTCAAGACAAAAATCTGGTGAACCAATAATGAATTGTTTCTTCTGGAATCAGTTGCTTATGGGCCAGTCAGCTTTCTTTGTTTGGGAGGAGAAAGTGTTAGAATCAGAATGGGACTACTGAAGGCTGAAAGCAGTAGTGTACCTGCCCTGCCCCCAAGTGCAAAGCCCAAAAAAAAAAAAAAGAGCTACTGAGATTAGCACCTTTGGGGGACAATGGAAGATTGTTAGTTCTTAGGGAAGGGGATAGTGGGTAGCACCTGTCTAATAATATACCTTTATAAACTTTTATACATAGTGATTTGCTAAATTAGTAGAATACAGGTATCCTGATACTTTTGTTTAGGATACTTCATAAAATCATGTTTGAAAACTAGATAAGCAGTAGTTGGAGGAGTGGAGTGATAGATCCATTTTCAGGGAAATAAAAATAAATTCTAGGTTGAGGCTGGGGGATCTAGACTTTTAAGTCCTCACTGGGTAACATGGCAAGACCCTGTCTCAAAAAAAATCATAAATCCTAATTATAGTATGCATTTTTAAAATTCCTTGTTAATCAGTATATACATGGATAATAGCAAATGTTGGTAATTAAAATTGAGTCACCCTTTTTTTTTTTTTTGACAATACTGGTTTTTGAACTCAGGACCTTTTTTTTTTTTTTTTTTTGTGGTTTTGGGGTTTAAACTCATAGCCTCAACTGCTTGCTAGGCAGGCACGCTACCATTTAAGCCATTCCTCCAGCCCAGCAACATTCTTGCTAAGTAGGTGCTCTATTATTTGAGACGTACCTCTAGCCTTTTCTTGCTCTTTAGTTATAGGGTCTAGTGTATTTTGCTGGAGGATGTCCTTGGACTACAATCCTCCTTTGGTCACCATGATCAGGTTGTTGAGATGGGGTCTTGTTAACTTTCTGCCTGAGGTGGCCTCGAACTGCAGTTCTCTCAGTCTTTGCCTCTTGAGTAGCTGGGATTATAGTTGTGCACTATCACTACCACACCCAGCCTTGAGTCATCCACATCTACCACTTATAAGCACTATGTAAGCTCCGTGTGTGTGTGTGTGTGTGTGTGTGTGTGTGTGTGTGTGTGTTGCTGGGTGTTGAACTCAGGACTTAGTGCTTACTTGGCAGGTGCTCTACCACTTGAGGCATCTGCCAGCCCAGACTCTTGGCCTTACAACTATTGATTGCTTCCTGGGAAAGCAGTTCTGCTCATTTTCTGCTTGTGGCTTACTGGATCTCATTCTATTCTTTTATCTGCATATAATTTTTATGATGACACTGAGATTACCTTTGAGGGGAAGCAAGCATTCTCCCATTCTTGGAGTCACACATAGAGCCACTTAGAACATTTCTGGTTCAACTTAACATTCTGCAGCTTTTGGTATAAAGAAAAATCATACATTCTCCAGTCGCATTAATGAATATGTTCTTATGACATTTGAAGTAATTGATTTACTGTCAGTGTTTGGGCAAAAGTGTGAGCAGTTTTCTGGGAGGAAAGCATTTAAGGAAATTATTATAAAGGAAGATAGGATCTTCCTTTATATTTGTATTTATCTAATTATACCTTCCCCCCTTTCTTTCAGAAAAAGCCTGGGCAGAAGCTGGATCAGCAAGAATGTCACTCCTTATATTGGTGTCCATTTTCTTATCTGCAGCTTTTATTATGTTTTTGGTATATAAAAATTTTCCTCAGCTTAGTGAGTAAGTATACCAAGAGAGAAACTGAAAATGTCTAGATATTTATGAGATGAAAGTGAAATAAAGGCTAAACTTACTTTATAGAACTATCATGATGATTGTGAATTAACTCATGTGGATTGTAGCAAGCCATATCTGCACTACAAAACCAAACCAGACAAACTTATTATTCCATATTTACCTCTTGATTTTTCTATGCAAGTTTTTCCTAGCATTGTTTTTCTAATTAAGAACTCATCTTACTAATGGCTTTCACAAAATTTTAGAAATGTAATTATAGGAAGAAAGTCATTTTTATATTATGACCCTGCACACATGTGCCCTCTCTCTTTCTCTCACACATACAATCTTACATATTTAAGACTTAAGTAAGGCTGGAAGGAAGTACAGCTCAGTAGTAGAGTGCATGCTTAGCATTGAAAGACCATGGGTTCAGTCCCCAAGCACAAAAAACAAAAACAACTAAGCTAAAATTTCATGAAGCAGTGGTGTCTTTGGATATTTTCTATTTGTTTCCTCTTACTGTTTAGTGTTGGTAGTGCCCAAGTAAATTTACTTTTTAGTCCACAGTAGGTAGTGATCTGCAGTTTGAATAAGAGTTGATATTCTTCTCTACTTTTGTGCTTTTTTTTTTTTTTTTTTTTTTTCCTTTTCCTTTTTGTGGGACTGGGGCTTTGTGCTTGCAAAGCAGGTGCTTTACTGCTAGAGTTATACCTCAGACAATTTTGCTCTGGTTATTTTTGGAGATAGGGTCTCACAAACTATTTGTCTATGCTAGCCTCAACCATGATCCTCCTGATCTTAGCCTCCCAAGTAGCTAGCAGTACAGACATGAGCCACCAGTGCCCAACCTTTTACATTTTTTCATAAATTTCTCCCTTCTTACTTTTCTTTATGATCAATTTTTGCCTGGTTCTGTCCATTCATTTCCTTCCCACCATATCAGTTTTCTAGCTCTTTTTATCGTTTACAGAAATCATCTAGTCTGAATAGATTCTTTTCATAGTGAAGTTGACCTTCTAAAAGACTACAGTACACATCCACATTTCCTCATCATAAACCTTGGTAGGACTGGCAGTGTGGCTCAAATGTTAGAGCGCTTGCTCAGCAAGTGCGAGGCCCTGAGTTCAAAGTCCAGTACCACAAAAAACAAACAAACAGAACAACACCTTGGTAAAATGTGTTTTAGAATTTAAAATTTTTTTCCACTTTAGAAAGATAACACAGACTGTATACTATGTTATATAATACTACCAGCAGTATCTAGAGAAGCATTCCATAATTAATATCTGTCTAGCTACATTGAGAAGCCTATATAGTGACAGTAACTTTACATAAGTATGGGTAAATTTTTGCTGACAAATTATAAAGAACTTCCAGTTTTCAGAATTACTTACTTTTGGCAGTTACTAGGGTTTGCGCTCAGGGCCTTGTGCTTGCAAGCACTCTTCCATTGGAGCCACACCCCCAAGCCCTTTTTTGCTTTATTTTTCAGGTAGTGTCTCCTGTTTCCTACCTCTATCCTCCTGAGTAGCTGGGACCACAGGCACCATGCCACCATTGCCTGACTTGTTTGTTGAGATGGGGGCAGGTCTCACTTACTTTTTACCTGGGCTGGCCTCAAACCTCAGTCCACCCTCTCTGCCTTCTGAGTAGGTAGAATTACAGGCATGAGCCACCATGCTTGGCTTTAGTTTTCAGAAATTTTTAAGCTTAGGAAAGAATTTTAGGACAGCAAAATATCCCAGGGCTGTTTCACCACAGTAATACCACCCTTATGTAATTATAGATTATATAAAGAACTTTAAAAATATAGTTAGTCTTTGAATCAAGAGTAGCTTGATACGGTAGTAGATAACTATGAAATGGGATTTCAGGGTATCAAAGTTTGTGCTGGGTTGGTGGAATGGCTCAAGTGGTAGAGTGCCTGCCTAGGAAGTATTAGGTCCAAAAAAAAAGAAAATTTGTGTTTTCCTCGAAATTCCTTTATTTCACAATTCTTTTTGTTTGAAATTTTAAAAACTTAGTTTTTATTTGCTTGTTTATTTGATGCTGTTGAAGTTTTAACTTTGGCCTTGAGAATGCTAAGCATGTACCCTACCACTGAGCTATACTTTCAGCTCCACTATTTTGGTTTCTTTATCAGTATTAATGCTTTTGGGAATGTTGCCTATTGTATTGTTAAATTAATATAAATATGATTTAATTTTAGGTCCTTTCTGAATTTTGATCAAGGAGTAGGGAATAAAGAACTGATTGAAGGAGGGAAGAATAGATTCTAGATTAAGGTTGTCTTTGTTCCCAATCGATTTTAAGAATGATAACATTTATTACTTGTGTAAAATAATGTCCTGTTACAAATCTTTTATATTCTTTCTTTTTATCTATCTATCTGTCTGTCTATCTATGCATATGACCATACTCATGTATGCACATGCCTATAGAGAGTCTTAGTTTTTAAACTTTATAAATGAGAGGGCTGGCAGAGTGGCTCATGTGGTAAGAGCGTCTGCCTAGCTAGCATGAAGCCCTGAGTGCAAACCTCAGTGCCTCAAAAAAAACTTTATAAATGAGAAACCATTTTAGTTTACCAGATATTTTTATATGACTTAAGAAAGGTAGCATTCAGCCAGGCTGGGATTGCACATCTGCAATCCCAGCTACGCAGGAGGCTGAAGCAGGAGGATCACTTGAGCCAGTGAGTTGAAGATCAGCCTGAACAACATAGTGAGACCCTGTCTCATCAAAAACACAAACAAACAAAAGAAGAAATGAGTCAAATAAGAGGGCTAGGGGTATGGCTCAAATACTAGAGTGCCTGCCTAGCAAACATGAGGCCCTGAGTTCAAACCCCAGTACTGCAAAAATAAAGTAAAATTAAATAAGAAAGCAGCATTCTTGCTACTATCAGTATTCTGTGCAGTAAACAAATGTAAATAAATGAACATACATTAAACACAAAGATGATTATTTGAAACTTTCATAAGCAAGAAATCCTCCAGTTCCAAACAAGTACCAAATATATAGTAAAATTAATAGAAAGGAAAAAGTAAAAAGCCAGACATGGTGCCCTGTACCTGTAATCCCTGCTACTTGTGAGGCTTAGGCAGGAGGATCTTGAGCTCGGATCAGCCTGGGCAACATAACAAGAAGACCTGTCTCAAAATGAAACAAAAATCAAAAAGGGAAAAATGTTTTAACCTTTTTTCTGACCTTTCTGCTATAATATTCCAGAAATGGAATAAATGTGAATTCATTAAAATTTTTACTTGGTTTTTGTTATAAATGATTATTTTTTATTACTTTTTTTTTGGCAACACTGGGGTTTGAACTCAGGGCCTCATGTTTGCTAAGCAGGCACTCTCAACTGCTTGAGCCACTCTGCCAGCAATGATTGATTATTGACATTAGCTTATCATGAAGGTTACCCAAAATGATGCTAACTATATTGCTAATATACTAACATCAGAGGTGGATTTATTAATGTTTAATTTAAAATCTAAGCCAATATTGGTGGATATGCTTTTAATCTTTAGTTTTGGTCATTCTGAACTTTTATGAATACATAACATAGCGTAATAAATTATATTAAAGCATTAAAAATAATTTATAGACTTTCGAACTTTAAAGTTGCTAATTTGGTCTGTGTTTACATATTACAGATCAAAGGATCAGATCATTTTGGATAAAACTCCATGTTTTGAACTTGAGTTTGGTTTTATCATGGTGAAATTCTGTTTTAAAGATTTTCATTTTAATTTTATTTCTTTAGAGAAGAAAGAGTGAATATGAAGGTTCCCAGAGATATGGATGATGCCAAAGCTCTAGGAAAAGTTTTATCCAAATATAAGGACACCTTTTATGTACAAGTGCTTGTAGCTTATTTTGCTACATATATTTTGTATCCTTTTAACTGAAAAGTGTTCTCTAGTTTTGTTCAAGAAAAGGTTTAAAATCTATTGTTTAGTTATACATAACTTTTTCTTTTAAAACTTGTTAACGCAGTGTTACAATATTAAATAAGATGTTGAAAAAATAAAATGGAAAAATGTAAAAAAAAAATAAAATGGAAAAAATTTCCCACTTTACTCTTACCTCCTCAACTCAGTTACTTTTATTAATGTCTATTGTAATTTTCTTGTCTTCTGCTTACTTTACTTATCAGGCAACATTTTCCTTTCCTCTGTTCTCTGGGATATTTATTTTGTTAGCAAATCTTTAAATTTTAAATAATTATTTTGAATTATTAGTAACATTTTAAAAAATATTCCCTTAGGTTTAGAGTATAATTTGTTTTTAAATTTTTGCTTTTGTTAAAATTTTAATCCTTTGCTCATTTTTTTCTTCAATTATTTCTTTTATAAAAATTCCTAAGAAGATAGCCATTCAAAAGAATTAATTTATTTTATAGTTCTTGGTATATCTTTCTTTGTTTCACAGAAATAAATAGTTTAACTAGTCAGAAGAATAGCTTCAAACTACTGAGGATTAATCTTCCAATTTGTGGACTTTGTAAGTTTTTCTTTTGGCAGCACTAGGGTTTAAAATCACTTGCAAAGCAGTCCTCTTGTTACTTAAGCCACACCTTCTCAATTTGTGCACTTTAACTGTCATTACTGATTTTTTTATCTTTTATTCTTGTCTAGCCTACTTTCAAATCTTCTTGGTTAACAAAACTAATCATTATCTTTTTTTTCTTTTAAGTACTATGGTTTAAACTCAGGGTTTGCTGGACACCAGTGACTCATGCCTATAATCATAGCAACTCAAGAGACAGAGATCAGAAGGATCGAGGTTCGAAGCCACTCCAGGAAAATAGTTCATGAGACCCTCCCTATCTTGAGAATACCCACCACAAAAAAGGCTGGTGGAGTGGCTCAAGGTATAGGCCTTGAGTTCAAACCCTAGTACTGCAAAAACAAAACAAAAAACCCAGGGCTTCAGGCTTGCTAGGCAGATGCTCTAATTTGAGCCATACCTCCAGCTCAGTCATTACCTATTTTTTTTTTTCTTTTTGTTAGGACTGGGGTTTGAACTCAGGGCTTTGCACTTACAAAGCAGACATTATACCACTTGAGTCATACTTTCCAGTCCATTTTGCTCTAGTTGTTTTAGAGTTGGGATCTCATTATTTGCCTGAGCTGGCCTCAAAACCTCCCGATCTCAGCCTCCCTAGTAGCCAGGATTACGGATGTGACCCACTGGTACTTAGCATATCTTTTTTAAACCTTTGAAAGGCAATTTAGCTACTTAATTCCTTCAGAGTATATTTACATTCTTCCTTCCTTTTTTATTTCCCGAATTTCTTTTGGTTTGTTAGAGTTTGCAACCAAAACCTTTTCTATAAAATTTAATAGTGTTTTCTTTTGGATTTATATTGGGTTAAATATTATATAAGTTAACCTTATGCAAATGTTTTGAATATATATGTAAACAAGTTAGAGAAATTACTCCAACATAAGTGACTTGTTGACAAGTATATTTAGGAAAACTTTTACTACTAACACAAACATTAATCTTCTACCCACATGGTAAATATGCTTTTATATTTAGGTAGTGTGCTTTATGTAGGTTTTTTATCATTAACCTCCTTATTATTAGAAAAATTTAACTTGGGGAAATTTGGAGAATAAATATTATGCACGTATTTTTTGACAGGTTATTTTGGACAGTTATTTGTGAAGTTATTTAATTGAACATACACTATTTTAAGAAATTCATAACTGCGAACACCACCTGTAATCCCAGCACTTGGTAGACTAACGTAAGAAGATCACAAGTTTGAGCCCAGCCTGGACTAAAAAACAAAAAAAATCCATAACTGTTGGTTTTTCCCATTAATGGCATAGTTTGGAAGTCCATTTTAGGGTGTAGGAAGGCTGAGAAATAAGTCAGTGCTCAGATTGTAGAGGACTTTGAATACCAGACTAAAATATTTAGAATAGTCATTTTGTTGTTGGGTAGTTATTGAAGACTTTTAAGCAGAGGATAACATAAAATTAATACTTTTTTTTTGTTTCCCTAGGCTAATTTTAAAAGTAAATTTATCTTATTATTAATATTACACCAATTCCCCCCCACCCAGGCCCCTTGCTGGATTGAACCCTGGCTTCGTGCTAGATAGGCACTCTACCACTGAGCCATACACCCAGAGCCCAATCTTGTGGTGATTTGTTTTTTTGACCTTTTTGAGAAAAAAGGATTAGGTAGTGCCTAAAGTTTGGAGTTGAGAAAAGGGAATAACATTTACTTTGATTTAGGACTGAGTTTTAAATGTTCAAATGGAATTATCCACACCCAAATGTTAATGAACTAGTATATAAAAACTAAAAAACCAGTGAATTCAAACACTGCCATACTATGTAGTTGTTGAAAAGAACAAGAAACATCTCCATGTACTCTTACGACGTTAACTTAGGATAACTCAGTGGAAAAAGCTCAGTGCAGAATAGTGCACAATTATGCTATACTTCATCTAAGGAAGGTGATGATATAAGTATACACATATACATAGCAATTTTTTTAAATAAAGTATGTCTTTGAAAAAAAAGCCAGTGACTCATGCCTATAATCCTAGCTACTCAGGAGGCAGAGATCAGAAGGATCAAGGTTTGAAACCAGCCTGGGCAAATAGTTTATGAGACCCTGCCTTACAAAAACCCATCACAGAAAAGGGCTGGTGGAGTGGCTCAAGGTGTAAGCCCTAAGTTCAAACCCCAGTACTGTAAGAAAAAGAAAAAGAAAAGGGGGTCCATGTCAAAACTGGGAATCAGAAGAAGGTAGGAAAGTATAATTATATTTTAAAAATGAAATTTGTGATTTTTACTGTATTTAGTAGTACCTATCTTTTTAAATGAGTAGTTAATTGAGGTAAGTTTCATAGTTGTATTAGAAATAGTTACTACACCTTATATGGACCTAGATTTGCACAGAAAGCAAGTTTCCCAAAAACATTTTACAGTAAATCAAATGCATTAGAAAAACATGTTGTTTGAAAGATTACTGACTGCCAAGCTCCAGGGTTCACCTTATAATCCTAGCTACTTGGGAGGTTGAAATCAGGAGGATCTTGGCTTAAGGCCAGCCCAGGCAAATAGACCCCCCCATCTCCAAAATAACCAGAACAAAATGGACTGAAAGTATGGCTCAAGTGTTAGAGTGTCTGCCTTGCAGTGCAAACCCTGAGTTCAAACCCTAGTCCCAACCAAAAAAGAAGATGGCTGAAGACTTTTTTCCCTTCAAATTGCCCAGTTCCTCTCTATCCTGTACACGCTAGATATGTGTGTTGGTTTTTCTTTAAGTAGCACAATTTTAATAGCGTGGTATTTATTAATATTTTTTTATTACTGTTTAGTCAGAGGTCACCTTAAAGCTGGAGGCATTATAACTGGGTAGTCATATAGTTTTTATATTTTTGTATGTAATTTTATGTTATCTTTTAATATAAGTTGAGCATTCCTAATCCAACAATGCAAAATGCTCCTAATCTGAAACTTTGATTGTCAACATGACATCACATTTGAAAACTCCCCACTTGACCTCATGTGGCAGGTTTTAGTCAAACATAGATGCTAACAATACTGTAAAAATTACCTTCCGTTTATGTGTATAAGGTATATGTGAAACATAATTGAATTGCATCATTAAACTTTGCTCCCAGCCTTAAGACATATCATGTGGCTCCTGAAATTTTACTGTTGGGTTAAAAGCTAACATTGCTATTTGCATATAGTCACTAAGTTTAATCACAAGTGCAAGTATTCCACAATCTGAAAAAATCCAAAACACTTCTGGTCCCTGGCATTTTGGATGAAGCATACTTAACCTGTATTGAAATATGGGTATAATCTCATTAGCATGATGATTTCTGTATTTGTCTCTTTTTTTTCTGAAATGTTGAATTTATCTTTTTAAAATTCCATTTAATTATGTTTTAATCCTTAACTTAGAAGTTAACAGCTTGCAAACATTTGCTATTCCAGGCTCTATTTTTCTCAGTATACTCTCAGGGTTTCTTTATCCCTTTCCACTAGCCTTATTTCTTGTTTGTTTGGTAAGTATATTAAAGGGATTGGGAGACTGGAAAAAATAGGTTTAATCAAAATGTTGAGGGTGATAATGGCATTCTAGTCCCACTAGTCTATGTAAACATAAATTCATTAGTTTTAGAAGCCTTAAAACCTCAATAAGAAGGTGTTAGAGTTTGTTTTTTCTAGAACAAGGGTTAGTATTCTTAATTGCGTTTATAAGCTCTGTTACAGCCTTTCTTTCCTATTGTGCTTTGTATCTCAGATAGTCTGAGGAGTGTTGGTGGGCTCAATGAGTCCCAGACTGGGGGTAGTGTTTTCAAGCATAGCAGTTGGGGGAAAAATTGATTTAAAAAATACTATCCTTTGGCTAACATTTGTTATTTGGAAATAGTCATAAGTTTAATCACAGGTGCCAGTTTGTTTTAACTGGTCTCATTTGAGTTACAATTTAGTCTGAGAAAGGACTAAATCAAATGGTAGTTCTTCTCTGCATAGAGCAGAGTGTCCTCCCCAGCCCTAAAAGGAATAAACTAGTTGAGCTTTTCCTCAGGTAAATGTATCCATGTGAATGAGACAGGAAAATACAAAATACTTAATGGCTTTTTGTTATTTTCCAGTGTTCTGGACTTGGTGCCTCATTCTGCTATATGCTCTCCTATTTAGTTGGAAGACCAGTTGTATACAAATACCTAACAGAGAAAGCAGTAAAATGGTCACAGCAGGTAAACATGTGTTTTTCTTGGTGTTTGTGTTTGTTTTTTTTAAGGGCTTTGTATTTGCTAAGCAGGCACTCTACCACTTGAGCCATGCCCCCAGCCCTTTTTTGCTTTTGTTATTTTTTGAATGGGGAGGGTCTCACTTCATTCCCCGGGCTGGTCAGGACTATGATCTTCTTACTTATTCTTCCCAGTGTAGCTGGAATGACATGCACACACTACTGTGCCTAGCCATTGTTTGAGATGGAGTCTCACAGACTTGAGGCACTGGGCCTGGCTGTTTGTATGTTTTTTGATTCAGGGTCTTGTTATGTTGTACAAAGTGGCATTGAACTTCTGGACTTGAAGTTCACTTGCCTCAGCTTCCAACCCTATACATGTGCTGAAACTTTAGATGCTTGCCAATATGCCCAGTTTATTGACTGAAATGGGGGGTTGCACTAGCTTTTTGCTTGTCCTGGCCTGCTTCTATCTCCCGAGTAACTGGGATTACAGGCAATGCCACCATGTCTGGCCTATAGGATATTTCATATTAAATCCCTAACAGTAGGAGAATCCTATTTTTACAAAGACTCAGAAGAAACAGACTGTTACAGGTTCACAGGAGTTTTAGCGATCATCCTGCCTACCCCTTTTTATACAACTTAGAGAATGGAGTAATTCGGGCTGGTGACATGGCAGGTGGTGTGGCTCAAATGGTGGGAGTGCCTGCTTAGCAAACTTGTGACCCTGAGTTCAACCTCCAGTACGGCCAAAAAAAAAAAGAAAATTAGGAGAAATTTAGTATTTTGCCACAAATAGTGATTATTTACCTTTAAGTCATTGTCAGATCTCTAGAATTCTAGTCTAGTGGTCTTTTCATTTTACCACATATGTACTGAATATTAAAATAGTTTTACATGTGTTTTTCTTTGTAGTAGCTAGTTTGTGTAAGCAAACTTATTATACAAAGGAATATAAACCAATCATGGTTTATATTTAATCAGTCAAATATTTCTATATGTCTGTTTTACCTCATTTATCAACAGCGAATGAATTTATTCATGATGTATATTTTAATAGCCTAGAATAAAGATTTTCTGAAATTTTTTAAAATTAGGGCTGGGGATATAGTTGAGTGGTATAGCACTTGCCTAACAACATCATGAGGTCCTGGGTTCAATCCCCAGTACCACAAGGGGAAAAACTTGGGAGCTAGATTTGTTAATGTGATGTGCTAGCCCATTTACATTGTAAAAAGTTAAAGGCATTAAAGCCAGGGGTGGTGGTGCATACCTGTAATGCCAACGCTGGCAAGAGATTCTCGCATTCAAGGCCAGTTTGAGGTACATAGTGAGACTGTTTCAAAAAACAAAACAAAAAAGGCTCTAAAAAGTTGGCCACTTTATAAAACAAGTTACGTACTTCTAAGATAAGAAAAAAAAATAAAAAAAAGAAAAAAGCTGGCCAGTTGATGTGTATCATATCTGATTTTCATATAAGCCTAAGTTTGGCATTTTTTTTTCTCTTTTTTTTTTTTTTTTCTTTTTTGTGGTACTGGGGTTTGAACTCAGGGCCTCACACTTGCTAGGCAGGTGCTGTATCACTTGAGCCACTCCACCAGCCCAATTTTGGCATTTTTTGATATAAAATTTCAACACTGAGCCACCACCAAGTTGATGAAGAAGCATTTTTAATAATATAACATTGACCTGTAAATCAAAATTAAAAAAAAAAACATTGTCATTTAACTCTGGCAATGAGCATTTGATAAATAGTTCATGGTTGCTTTCAAACTTAATTAATTTCTATTGAATGAATTCTGAAGTATCAGGGATGAAAAATTGAAATAAGGCATTTATATTCAACAGCTTATTTTCAAGATTGACCTTATCTGATGCTAAGTCTCTTCTTTCTTATGACAGGTGGAACGTCATCGAGAACATCTTATTAATTACATCATATTTTTGAGAATAACACCATTTCTGCCTAATTGGTTTATTAATATTACGTCTCCAGTGATAAATGTGCCATTGAAAGTTTTTTTTATTGGCACTTTTTTAGGTAAGGCCTATGTTGTATTAAGTTCATTGTGTACATATCTGACAGTGTCCATGTGGCGTTGATTGCATGCTCTGTGCAGACTTGCCACTCCCACATATCATCCTTGGGCATAAAGCCTGATCTGTTCAAATAGATACTGAGGAATGTTTCTTCATTACTTTATTTTTTTGTGTTTCCTCTTTGAAGAAGAATACTTCCTACTGAATAATATTTTTATAATATAAGATGAAGCATTTGTGTATTTTGTGAATTCTGTGATTCTTTAGAAAGAGTGCTGAGCTTTTCTTTCTAGTTTCAATTATTTAGATACAGTGTTCAAGATTTCTCATGTATTGAGAAAATACTTTTAGAAAAAAAGTGTATCTGGCAAACACTTTTAGAAAAAAATAATCAAAATTGGTATTTTTGGTGCTGAGATTGTCAAAACTGTTTATTGCTACTTTTTGTGTATTTTTATTTATGTATTGTCAGCACTAGGTTTGAACTCAGGGTTTGTGCTTGCTAGGCAGGTGCTCTTCCTGTTTAACTATGCCTTCAACCCTTTTTGCTGTGGTTATTCTGAAGCTAGGGTCTCAGTTTGTGACCTAGGTAGGTTTTTTGTTTTTCTTTTTTTTGTTTTTTTTGGCAGTAAGTAGTTTGAATTCAGGGCCTTGCTCTTACCAGGCAGGCTCTCTATCACTTGAGTCACAACCCTAGCCCTGCCCCAGGCTTTTTGCTAGGATGATAGATGCTTACCACCATGCCCACCTTTTTTCAGTCGACATGATGTCTTGCAAACTTTTTTTGCTTGGCTGGCCTGGAACATAATCCTCTCATCTCAGTTTGGGATGATAGATATGTACCACTGTGCCCAGCTATTGGTTCATATGGGATCTCATTAAGTTTTTACCCGGGCTGGCCTCAAACCTTAATCCTCCCACTCCTCCCATGTGGAAGTGGCAAGTTTGCACAGAGCATGCAGTCAAGGCTAGAGTTATAAATGTGAGCCACCAAAACCTAGCTTGCATTTTATTTATTTTTGTGGTGCTGGGATGGAATTCAGGGCCTTGCTCATGCTAAGTAAGTGCTCTACCACTGAACTACACCTCCACCTTATTTTTGAATGCTTAGATTGTTTCCAGATTTTTATTATAATGCACTGATAAACATCTTTCAAATTAGATTTTTGCTTTTGTACCTTATTTCCTGCAGTTGAAATTGCTGGATCAGAGCATGTTCTTTTTCTTTTCTTTTTTGAGAGTTTATAAGTGTTGTGATACTATTCTCTGGACCCTTTTCTTGGATTTTTTAATTCATTATTTGTGAGGTAGTTGTGAAGTTTGTGGGAATAAACTTGAGTAGCCTTTTTCAAATAACTGAACCTGGAGGCAGAGATCAAGAGGATCAAGGTTCGGAGCCAGATCAGGCAAATAGTTCGCAAGACCCTATCTCAAAATCCCATCACAGAAAAGGGCTGCTGGAGTGGCTAAAGGTGTAAGCCCTGAGTTCAAAACCTAGTACTACAAAAAAAAAGAAAAAAGGAAATAACTGTGTTCCTATAAGAAATTTTTTGCACACAGAAATGTAAGTTTTAAACACAATTGATGGTTTTTACTGTATGTTTTTTATTTTTTATTTTAGGTGTCGCACCTCCCTCTTTTGTAGCAATTAAGGCAGGAACAACACTGTACCAGCTTACAACAGCCGGGGAAGCTGTTTCCTGGAACTCAGTATTTATTCTGATGATTTTGGCTGTTCTTTCTATTTTGCCAGCCATTTTCCAAAAAAAACTAAAGCAGAAATTTGAGTGAAAAATCATCTAGGTTTTAGTTTTACTATCACCATCACCACCGTTGTCGTCATCATCTCAGGATTAGCAGGTGCATCCATTTATGTTTTAAAATCTCTTCATTAATAGAATCTGTAAAATAAAATTTCCCATGCGAGACATTTAAAATAATACATTTAAGTTGAAAAAGGAGCAGAGTAAAATGGGAATTAGCATACTATGAAAAGCACTGTCATCAATAGTTATGATAGACATAAATTACTGTATCAAGAGTAGTTATAGATAATTAGTAGTGGTTTAGTAGGAAATTCTTGATCTAAATAATCCATTCAATTTTTAATGTTTTTCTCTTTTATGTCTAAATAATAATAAAATAGCTAGTAGAGCTTGGTGTGCACCTGTAATTCCAGTTGCTCTGGAGGCTGAGGCTAGCAGGGGATTGTGAGTTTGGGGCCAGCCTAGGCAACTTAGCCAGACCCTTTCATAAAATAAGAGTCACAGTTCTTGATAATGTTAGCCTTCTTTCAGAGCATAAACTGGATGACTAAAGCTTGAAAGAGATTTATATTTCCTTTCTCTTTTTACCTTTGAGGGAATGAATTTCTTTATAGAGAGCGTATCCTCATAGACTAATGAATATAGAAAGAACATCACGTTACCTATTTTGTGAATTTTATTTTTTTCTGCTCTAGATCTTTATCATGGATTAGTCTAGTAATTTAAATTCTGGCCAGTCTGTTTCCATCCTTTTTTCTAGGTTTTACAGTATTTCTGCTGTGCAAATTGAAGATTGCATAACTGTATCATATTGGTGTTGATAATGTACATTCAGATATTTTGTTATGGTGCCTCCTTAGTATCTCAAAAGGACCTAAAAACAAACACTCAAAGATTATGGTCTTTTAGACATTATAATAATTATTTAATTTGAAACAAACAGTGGCAGCACTGCACTAGTGGTTAATACAGTTTATTGATTCCAAATGACTGTAAAATTTACCTCATTTATTTATTAGTCTGGTCATTAAATGATGTATTATATAATCATCCTTTTAATGCATGATACATCTGTAAGAATGCCTTGTTTTGTTTCTATTGGTGGCTTTTTATTTGGGACTGCTTTAGACTAATGCAGTTTCCCAACAGAGTTTTTTTACTTTTCTAACTCGCAAAGTGAATTAACTTTTGACATGGTAACTATTATATTTGAATGGTTCTGGAAAAAGTGACTTCTTTTTGCTGCTTGGTATGCACTTAGTGCTTGATTCTAGGATAGAGCCAGTCTAAAGTACTCCCTCAGTTTTACCTTCACCCCAAGAATGTCGTTACGTTGAAGAAGTGCTTTAGCTGTATGAGAAATCCTGATATGTTTTCATTCTGAGAGGAGTGATCCTCCTCAAAGCCTGTTTTACTGCATAATATGGACAGATTCATTTTTTTCTGTCACAGTATTAACAAATGGATGTATTGTAAATACAAAGAAAATATATTGATTAATATAGTAGTCATGTCACCTGGCCTTTTGTTTATGCAAAATTATTTATTGTTATGTCTAGTAAGGTTTTCTTTGTTATTGACCAGAGACTGAATAATAAAGCTTTTGTTATTTTTACAAATAAATTTAAAACAGCCTTTGGGGACAAAATTTACTAAATATTACTGTGTAAAATGTATGAGTCAATTTTTTCAGACTTTTAAAAATAAAAGAGCTCGAATTCAGGAGAAACCTCACTATTTACTCTGGTGGGTACCTTTCTATTCTCAGTGTTTTCTCTTTTCTTACTATACGTTCTTTCCTTCTGCTAATCTTTTTTTTTTCCTGTTAGAAGACTGTAGCTTCCACTTTAGGCTATTAGTTTCTCCCAAGATAATAACCAGTCTTTCCAGATTTCAATATTGACATTCAAGAAAGAAGTCTTCAGCAGGTTGTACTCTGAATACAGATGGTGGCCTATATTTACAGTGCCACAGGCTTGGCCAAATGTAAATTCAAGTGCCAGTCCCTTTTTTTTTTCTCCTCCCCTTTTTTGGTACTTAGGATTGACCCAGGGGTTTGCCCATGTTGAGCGTGCACTCTACCACTGAGCTACACTCCCAGCCCCTTCAGCCACATCTCGAAGACAGGTGCTTAGTAATAAATCACCCTTCCAGGAGAGAGCAAGCATCTGTAGTAGAGAGGCAAACAGGCTAACCAGGAAGTTGACAGGAAAAAAGTAATACTGTTCTGGCCTTTCTCTGGAGCTCTATTACTTTGAATGTAATATAACCAAGGAACTTAATAAGTGAAACTACAATGTGATAAGTCATCCTTGAAAGACTTGGATATTTTAGGATTTATTTCATGGAAGTAGTTACATTGAAAAACCCTCATTGAATAAAAGTATCTATCTCTTGAAATTCTTTTCTTATGTCTTGAAATTCTGATGTACATTTTTACCATTAAGAACAAAGAAAAAGAACTTGTGGAGTGGCTCAAGTGGTAGAGTCCTGCCTAGCAAGTGTGAGGCCCTGAGTTCACCCCAGTACCAAAAAAAAAAAAAAGCCTTTAATTAATTGATTTTTGTGTTGCTAAAGATTGAACCAGTGCCTTGCACATACTAGGTAAACACTATCACCAAGCTGCACCTCCACCAGCCCAACCAACCTTCAATTTTTTAAAATACTGTTTCCTTTTATTTATTTATTTATTTTTGGCGGTGCTGGGGTTTGAACGCAGGGCCTCACACTTGCTAGGCAGGCGCTGTTACTGTGTTTTATTTTATTTATTTATTTTGAGACAGGGCCTTACTATGTAGCCAAAACTGGACTGAAACTCAATGTGTAGCCTAGTCTGTGCTCACTGATTTATATTATGGTATTATAGTGAGAAATTAATAGCAAAAAACCAAATTTGTCTAGTAAACACAACATCTAAACTGTGAAAGATGTAAAATCTTGAAATTGAATAATAATATGCTATATATTAAAATTTATTAAAGTTCATAAATGGGTTTTTGTGTGAACATAGTCTTCATTTCTCTAATTCCTGAGAGTATATGATTGCTGTAGGGCTTTTTGTTTGTGTTTTGTTTTGAGACAGAGTCTCCCTATGTAGCCTGCTTGTACAAGTTTTTCCAGAGTGAAAAGATAAAGTAAGCCATTCGGCTCATTTGTATGAGGCCAGTGTAATTTTGTTTCCAAAATCTAATGCAAATTATACAATAAAAAAATATATATATATGACTTATTTCACACATGAACATTGATGCAAAAGTTCTAATGCAAACCTGGTGCCAGTAACTCACATCTGTAATCCTGCCTGTTCAGGAGATAGAGATTGGGAAGATCACAGTTTTGAGGCCATCCCGAGTATAAAGTGGCTCAAGTGGTAGAGCACCTGCCTAACAGACATGAAGCCCTGAATTCAAGCCCCCATACTCAATCAATCAATCAATGAATAAAGACAATCTTTGGAATCTTACACACTTCAAAGTGACTTCTCCCCTTTTTACAGCTGCTGAAAGAATAAAAAGCTCTCAGTTTCAATACATTTCATTTGCTCCTTGATGTCTTAAGTAACCATGAGCTTTTTGAGGACAGGAGCTTTGATGAAAGGTAAGGCTGGTGAGATCCTCACCAACTGGTTTTGCTTGAAGAAAAGGAAGAGTAAAGGGATTGGGTGGGGGTAAGTTGGAGGGTAGAAGGGTAGGCTGCTCAATTATGTACCTAGTAACCTCAGGGAGAAGTTGGGCTTACAGCTTTTCTATTTAGTGGTAAAAAGCTGGATGTGTGTCAAGTGTCTGCCTGTAATCCTAGTGACTCAGGAGGTAGAGATCAGGAAGTTCGTGGTTCAAAGCCAGCCCAGGCAAATAGTTCGCAAGATTTTATCTCAGAAACACCTATCACAAAAAAAGGGCTGGTGGAGTGGCTCGATGTGTAGGCCCTGAGTTCAAGCCCCAGTACCACAAAAAAAAAAAAAAAAAAAGGATATGGATTCTGAGCAGAGTGAAGCCTGTTTTCAGTTTTATGCTGATGGAAGTGCTGTTGAAAATGTTCTGAGCATGAAGCCCAGAGATCTGAGTTGGGACAGTTATGGCCAGGATGAGAGTAGTCAAAACTCAGATTTGCCTTATTTTAAGTAAAGATTGTGTGAATTAATATAAGTTGTGTGTTATGATTATTAAATTGACCATTTTAGCTTAGTTTCATCATTAGTAATGTATAGTTAGAGGGACAATCCATTATTATGTGTGACATTTTGGAGTTGGTTTTGAGCAACTGTATTCCAGGTATATTCAACAAAAAAGGACTTAATATACTTTAGGTGTTTAGGACTTCAGGTGTTTGAAAAAATCATTTAGAAGCTGAATCTGATGGTGCATTCCTGTAATCCCAGCACCCTGTTGAGACAGAAAGGTCAGGATGAAGAGCTCAAACCAGCCTGGGCTACATAATGAGACCCTGTCTCAAAACAAAACAAAATACTAGAAAATTTGGAGGAGCAGGCTTTAGGATGAAGATCTGAAATGACTCATAGAAAACTATACCTATCAGTAGTATACTTACCTGGCAGGGGAGATACCATGATCATGAAGGTGGTTTTCCCAGGGCAAGGCTTATCCGCTGCACTCTGGATGTGTTGACCCCTGCGATTTCCCCAAATGTGGGAAACTCGACTGCATAATTTGTGGTCGTGGGGACTGCATTTGTGATTTCCCCTAAAAAAAAAGTAGTTGTGTTTGAGAACTCACCACTGGCTGTGATCCAGTGCTCAGAGGGATAGGCTCTAAGCTTACCCCAGCAGCCCTGGTTGCTGCTTGAGCCCAGAAGAGACAGCCTGCTCCACTGCAACTTTGTCACATCATCCACAAGGCTGGGGAGAGATACTGGTGTCTCTACACCCTACCTGCTCATGGATCACTGCCAGAAGCAACAAAGTCGCCTCCATTTCTTTTCTTACCAAAATCTCTTGCAAGTACTTCCAATTTGTGGAACCTGTTTTGCATACACAACTAGTTTTAGGAGAGGTCGCTTTCTAGTCTCTAAACAGAAAAGAATAATCAAAGTCAGATATATAACATTCAGGGCACAGTGCAAAATGAAAGTGCAGAGCCCTTGGGCTGGAGTAGTAGCTCAAGCTGTACAGTTCCTACCTAGCAAGTGTGAGGCCCTGAGTTCAAACTCTAGTACCACAAAAAAAAAAGTACTAAAGGATGATTTTTCCTTTTTCCACAGTCTCCCTCTTGTCATGGTGTTTTTTATTTTTTACTTAATGTTCTAAGGCAAGAAAAATTAAAATTATAATTTACCTTCATCTTTACATTGTGCAATGCCAGTTTTAAATGCAAATAAAGTACAAAATTTACTTTGTAGGGACTGAAGATGTGCTCCAGAGGTAGAGTGCCTGGTTTGCAAGTGTGAAGTCCTGAGTTCAAATGCCAGTCCCAACAAAAACACAACTTACATTGTAGAGTCACTGAAATTACGTGTTTTTGTAGCTTTCACAGGCATATATATTTTGCTCCTATCAGAACAGAGGACATGCTACAAAAAGTACTCAACTGCTTTTACTTTACTTTTTTTTCCCTTGAGACAGGTTCTTACTATGTTGCCTAGACTGCTCAAGTTCCTGGGCTCAAGTAATTCTCCCACTTTAGTCTCCCAAGTAAGTGGAACTATTAACTATAGCTATGTGCCACTCTGCTGGCCTTTATTTCACTTTTTTTTTTTTTTTGGTGGAATTTGAACTCCCGGCCTTAACACTTGGTAGGCAGGCACTCTACCACGTGAGCCACACTTCCAGCTCTCTATTTCACTTCTTGGCATGCACACTTTCTCCAATATCCTCTACCACTGAGCTATGTCCCAAGTTCCTGAATGGAAAGCAGCATTCCTTATCATATTGTCAGCATGCCTGTTTATGCAGTTGTAGACATAGCTGCTTATCTTGTACTGACTGACTGCCTGAATGCCCATGCATCATCACCACACATGCACTGGGATTCTCTGCTTATGGAGTATTGCACACATTATAGGGGAATGAAGGCAGCAAGGAACAACAGATACACAGCTTTCAGAACATGCTCCTTTTCCCATCAGACATCACTTACAAAACACAAATTCAAAAATAAAAATTTTAAGATGACAAATGCAGAGCATTAAGCCAAGTGTGTTGTCCTAAACAGTGCCACTGCATAAGTGGAATGACAATGAAGGTGGCCCTAGGCATAGAGACAGTACAGGTAAGAACTGATGTTGACTCCAAATGACCATAACCAGTATAGAGTGCTTATAAGCAGATGAGTGAAGGGCTGGAGGTGTGGCTCAAATGCTAGAGTGTCTGTCCTGTGAACAAGCAACCCTGAGTTCAAACTCAAGTACTGCCACCAAAAAAAAAAAAAAAAAAAGGTAAATTGCAGATGAGTGAGGCTGGGAGGTGAGATGAGAGAGAAGAATGGAGCAAAGGTACAGAGGAAGCTATGTGATGCGATGAAAGAGCACAAAAGATGTTGACTTTCTAGTTCTGCAAGTCCTGTGTCCTGTTTACCACCCCCACACTGGGCAATGCAGATAGTGTGCAGCCCCATTGCTAGCTCATATGGTGACTTTAAGTGGACTAGAAAAAGATACCCGCTTCTTCAGATACTTTACCGCCATCTATTGGAAAACTGTCATCATAACTATGTAGGTTAATGATGACTACAATGAGCCATGTCTCATGATAACAGTCTGTACACATGAGTCGCAGCCCTGCCTGTCACCCACAGAGTTTTTAGGTGACACAATGCTGTTAACTCACAACCTGAGCTTAGCAAACTTAGTGGGTGGCAAGCAGGAGTTGAGGTGGCAGGCCAAGGGTGGTCCAGCCACACCCTGACTTCCAGCCTCAGAGGTGGTCAGTTGAGCATTAGAACTAGTAGTTCCTCATTTTATATTGTCCTGTCCCTGGCAGCCCATGAAGATTGTTGCTCTGGGAGCCTTTGGTCAGTTCCTCCTAAATAGACCACCACCAACAAAAAAATTTATTTTTGCTTTTGACTAAAATTACATCATTAGCATATTAACTCATGCTAACTAAAAAGTCTGAGCAGTAGTTGTGGGAGGTTGCTCACACCTGTAATCATAGTTACAGGCAGAGATCTGGAGAATCGCGGTTCAATGGCAGCTGGGCAAATAGTTTGAGAGACCCTATCTTGAAAATGCCCAACACAAAAAAGGACCGGCAGAGTGGCTCAAGTGGTAGAGTGCCTGCCTACCAAGCGTGAGGCCCCAGCTCAGCTTGAACTCTTACCTAGTGAAGTCATATCTCCTAGCAACCATTAACCATTTTTCTAACTTCTATTTTTGCTATTACTTAAACACAGAGAACATGTGTCTCAGATGGATCTGATTATGATTCAAAACATGGAGACAGGTACTTTAGGGTGGGCTTGTTACTTCCCAAAATATTTAGGGCAAAAACTCAGCACAAGAGCTGGAGGAGTGGTTCAAGCAGTAAGAGTGACTGCCTAGCAAGTATGAGGCCCTAAGTTCAAACACCAGTACCGACAAAAGAAAAACAATGGAAAAAAAAAAAAAAAAAACTCAGCACAAGATTTTAAACATGCCAAGAATCAACTGTAATTAAACTGAATTTCTAAAGTTTAAGCTATTATATCCTCAATTGTACTGGAGGACCACTTTGTCTATATTCATAATAAGGAGATGTTCTGCTTTTTTTGTTGTTTTCTTTTTGGGACAGGGTCTCACTAGGTAGCTCAGGCTGGCCTCAAACTCGTGATTGCCCTGCCTCAGCATGGGAGGACTGGGATTACAGGTGCTTACCACCACACCTGGTTGGCTTTACTTTTTAAGAGTGTGCTGGGTATATTTATACCTTCTGAATTAGGATATTTCCAATTGAACTTTTTTTTTGGGGGAGGGGCTGAGTTGACCTCTGCTTAACACACTTTATAGAAAAAGAAGAGATGTCATTGGGTCACCTAAGATGATAGCATTTATGAAAAAACTAATAATTGTTTTAAGTCATTTTGGGGGCAGTACTGGGAATTAAATCCATGCAT